CCTCAGTCTTACCCCTAAGGATAAAGCTAAAAACTTGCCATGTTAATCAAAATTCCATTAAGTTGGCAGGTACTAATGCTACGTTACTAGTTAAAGTGATCGATTTAAGTTCATAACTGATCATAAAGATACAATTAAGTGTCAATGGGATCACATAAATAAGACCAGTGTCTGCTAATAATAATTTATAGAATTAAAAAGGAGGGAATGATCTTACATGGAAAGTGGGATACACAGCAGTCTCATAGTATGACAAATGCCCTAAACAGCACTTTGGCCTCAGAATCAACCCTTAAGGCATTCATTCGAATCTGGCTTAAAAGCTCATGAGAGTATTTCAGGCAAGGAAAGCCAAGACATTGTGGCAAAAAAAAAAAAAAAAAAAATGACCTAAATGAAAGACCTCTGAGTGAGATCCCAGTGGAAAGAAGGGGCCATCAAAGAAGAAGGTACCCCTTTCTCTGAAGGGAGGAGAGAACTTCCACTTTGATTATTGCCTTGTCTAAATAAGGTCAGAGTTTGTGAACTCAAGAGGCTTCCATAGCCTTGGCAGCTCATGACAAGAGCCTCGGGTGATTACTGACGTCATAAATAAGAGTGTCAACTGTTAAATCAACAACAGGAGTCACTGAGCACCTGCTCCCCATGTAGGATCTCTGTCCTTAATGTGTTGTACTATGAGAATTACTGATAAATCTAATCTTCAAACAGTACTTTATTCTTTGTGTGTCTGTGTGGGTGCAAACTGTTGAAATCTTTACTCAGTATAGAATTGATATTCTATATATAAAGATAATTAAAAATGAATCTTAATGAAGACTGGGATGGGTGAGAGAGTAGGAGATGGGATATTTTGTAGGTGGGAGGGTGGCTATGGAGAGAAGAACTGCTATAATCCAAAGGATGTACTTTTTAAAAATTTTATTAAATAAAAGTTTTCTATTAAATAAAAAACAAGTGGTTTGACAAAGATTTTATATATATATATATTTTTTACAGGTAGAGCTATATACAGTGAGAGAGACAGAAAGGTCTTCCTTCTGTTGGTTCACCCCCCAAATGGCTGCTACAGCTGGAACTGTGCCGATCCAAAGCTAGGAGCCAGGTGCTTCCTCCTGGCCTCACATATGGGTGCAGGGGTCCAAGCACTGGGGCCATCCTCCACTGCCTTCCTGGGTCACAGCAGAGAACTAGATTGGAAGAGGAGCAACCAGGACTAGAACCTGGTGCCCATATGTGATGCCAGTGCCGCAGGCAGAGGATTAACCAATTGAGCCATGGCGCCGGCCCCAACAAAGATTTAAAACAAAATTTTACAAAACTATATATGCTGTTCTTGCAAGTGGAAAGTGAGACTGTTTGAGTCTCATGGGTGCTGGAAAGTTTGAAACCTAGGTCAGGGACAAATGACCAGGCTACTCATATCCAGCACACAACTTTGATGCCAGCAAAATCCCTTCCATCTTCTATCACAGAGGGTCCACACAAAAGTTGCTTGTGTATCCCAGAACTCTAGTCCAGCACCATAAGCAGCTGTACACATCACAGCAGGTAGAAAATACTCAGCTGGGTTGCCCATGCATCCAGGAGTTGTAACTGTTCTGTATCAGGATATAGACCATACAGCCTAGACACGATCTGAGACACCTGCCCTGTCCTCACATATAATCCAATTTTTGTGGTCTCATTCCTGATACTTGCAGCCTCAATAACTTGGAACCACAAAAAGGATGTACAGTGACCTCCCTCTCTGTGAGCAAGTTCCCAGCTATACTCAAATGCACACTTCTTCCATCAATTGATAATACTCTTTGGAGTTTGCGACATGGCAAGTAGTGGAGTTACCACAGCATGTAGAAGGCTCCTGTGTTGGAAAGCAGCTACAGGGATGGAACAGCAATAAGTCTGCAGACTGGATGGTCCTGAAACTCTTTTGTGATTGCAGGAGCTAGGTTTTGGCAAGCTCCCCAAATTCAATTTCTCCTGCACTGGGCAATGTTACTTGGTTATTTTTCTGGTTTGGTGGAAAACATTAATGAAAAGTAATATTTAGGGCATTTTGTTTTGAAGGCTACTAATAACTCAGAGGCTTCCATGTGCATTTATTCCTTTTTGTTTTACCTCTATTTCTATTCCTCCTTCACATTCCAAACCCAAAAGAGGTGACTATATCTCCTACTATTTGCTCCTTTATACTGCTTAATTTTTACATTATATATAGTAAGACTGAATTGGGAGGAGTGCAGACATTTAAATTGTTACATCACCCTGACAGATTGCTTTTTTTTTTTTTTTGACAGGCAGAGTGGACAGTGAGAGAGAGAGAGAGAGAAAGGTCTTCCTTTGCTGTTGGTTCACCCTCCAATGGCCGCCACGGCCAGCGCGCTGCGGCCGGCGCACCACGCTGATCCGATGGCAGAAGCCAGGAGCCAGGTGCTTTTCCTGGTCTCCCATGGGGTGCAGAGCCCAAGCACTTGGGCCATCCTCCACTGCACTCCCTGGCCACAGCAGAGAGCTGGCCTGGAAGAGGGGCAACCGGGACAGAATCCGGCGCCCCGACTGGGACTAGAACCCGGTGTGCCGGCGCTGCAAGGTGGAGGATTTGAATTCTTTATCAGTATTGTACTTCTGTCTCTAACAGTGCTTTGACCTCAAGTCAACACTTCTTGAACAAGTACAACTATTTTGCCCTTACTTTGGCTATTTTTTCAATAAAATGCACATAAGCATTTATCTGACTTTAGATATTTATCTTGGATTAGAGGTTTGCATGTTATGAATGGCACTTGTATGATCCCCAGGTGGCAGGTCCAAGGCCAACGAGCAGTTGTCAATGGGTAGCAATGGACAGACAGAATGACTTGCAGGACTGTCTTCAGGGAGGGATTTTGAAAAGCAGTCATTGCAACTATGATGGATCCAACATCATATTTGTAGCACAATCATCTAGGAATAGCCATGCTGCCTGAGTGAACTCTCTATCCAGAGTGGGTAAAAACTGAGATCTCACTATAAATCCAATCAGAATCCTGAAAGCACATTCTAGATGGGTAAGAGAAGTAAACACTTAAACTTGTTTTTATTTAACTTATAAAACTGAGGGGGTACCTTAGGAGGGTGGTAAAGGAACAAAAAATAATATTAAAATCAATGTAAAGCTATAATAATATCATACGGTATTGAGGTAGATAAAGGGGAACAGAGGAGCAAGATTCATTTAAAGGGACAGTACATACTCTGATAGATGGTGTGAAAAATCTCAGGAGAAAACAAGTGCTGCAATGTACAAGATTTGGAGTTATCTTTTTATAGGAAGAGGTTGTGCTGGTACCTAAATGAATATTCAAACAGTGTGAGTGGGGCATGGCTTGATTACAACCCAATCCATGCTTCTTTTTTTGAAATATGAGAACTCTCAGAGTAGCATTTTTAAAAGTATTTTTTTTTATATACAGAATACAGGAAAGTTTCTGTAAAGTCTAAAACATAATTACTATGTACATCAGTACTAGTTGTGAGGATGGGAAGAGAAGAGGGAGCCAGGGTCAAGAGAGAGAGGAGAGAAGTGGTCAGAGAATAAAAAGGAGATAAAACAGATTTATGACAAAAATGTTTTTGCTACAATAGACAATTTAAAAACGCTCTACTACATGTAGTACAGTTTTTAAAAACATTGAAAAAATGTCATCACTAGATGTATTACAACGAAGATGGTTAACTTTCATAGCATCATTTTCACATGTGCCATCCGGTACATATTAAGAGGTGAGGCTTAGCTGCCTTATAAGTATTAGGTGTACTGAGCATGCAGCCACACATATTTGTAGCTGACAAAACAACAGCAGGGTTTGGGTACATAGGAGCAGAGTTTGGGTAGTGCATTGGGTGTGATCCAGATGTTGCTTACAGTCCATTCCTAGTGATCACTAGCTACCTGTCTATATCATTTCCAAATTGCTCAATGGAGTAAAATGGGTCAGAACTGTGTCAGGTAAATAAAAAAAAAAATTCAGGGTACAATTTCAAACAGGAATAACCCACAACAAAGTGGAAGAAAAGCAATACAAGAAACAAAGCAAAAGTAAACACTGGCAGAGACTTAATCTCAGGAAGAGGACTTGGATTTTAGGCCACTAGAGCACTTTGCTCACATTCCTCTTTACCCTATAAATTACACCTCTAGCAGTGTGGGTAAATTCAAACATACACACAGACAAGTCTGTGATTCTCATGAGCCGCCTGAGATTAAATCTCTAACCTGAATAAAATAATTATCATCCAGTGCTGAGGGTACAGCACTATGGATGGAACATGATCTAGATGGCATGTGTCTGGCCACACCACTGGTTGGAATATTGTGCAGAAATCATAAGCAGACAAAAAAAAAAGCTACTACACCAAACAACACCTTTATTACTGATACAGATGGTATTTTAGATAAGTGAATGTTATAGACTGAATATTTGTTAACAAAATTCATATGTGAAAGCAGAATTCATTTACTTTCGTTGCCTTACAAAAAAGGGAGGGAAAAAATGTAGATTGTGTATCAAAGAGAAGAAAATAAACAAAACAGCACACCTCTGCCATACAGGATTACCCCCTCATGTGAATTCCCTAAACCCTGCTGATGTGGGACTTCCAGAAAGGATTTTCCCACATACCCTATGCTATCAGTTTTTATTCAGTAAAATTTTGTTGATGCTTGTTGAAGCTTGCATTTATAGTTAAAGGTGTTTCCACTTCCATTACATTTATAAGGTCTTTCTTTTTGAGTTCTTTGATAGACAGTGAGAGATTTACGGTAGAAAGTTTGTCCACATACACAGGCATTGTCATCTGTGAGGTCTTTGATTTGTGCTGAAGTCAGAGTTCTAGCAAAACAAGTTTTTGCATTCATTATGCTGATAGGTATTTTTCTTCTCTTTATGTCTTGTAATGTCTGTTAAGATCTAACTTTTGCCCAAAGGTTTTCTAACATTAATTGCATTCAATGGTATGTGTGAATTCTATGATGCCTATTGAGGCTTGACTTCTGGGAAAATGTTTTTCCACATTCATTACATTTGTAAGGTTTTTCCCCTGTATGAATCCTCTGATGTGTACTGAGGTATGACTTATGGCAAAAGGCCTTTCCACATGTATTACATTCATAAGGTTTCTCCCCTGTATGAATCCTGTGATGTGTAACAAGGTCTGACTTCCGGTGAAAGGCTTTTCCACATTTAACACATTCATAAGGTTTCTCCCCTGTGTGAATCCGCTGATGTTTAATGAGGTCTGACTTCTGATGAAAGGCTTTTCCACATTTATTGCATTCATAAGGTTTATCGCCTATATGAATCCTCTGATGTTTAATGAAGTATGATTTATGACAAAAGGTTTTTCCACATTTATTACATTCATAAGGCTTCTCCCCTGTGTGAATCCTCTGATGCGTAATCAGGTCTGACTTCCGGTGAAAGGCTTTTTCACATTCATTGCATTCATAAGGTTTCTCCCCAGTGTGAATCCTCTGATGTATAATGAGGCTTGAATTCCGGGAAAATGTTTTTTCACAATCATTACATTCATAGCGTTTTCCACCTGTGTGCATTCTCTGATGTGTAATGAGATGTGACTTCTGACGAAATGCTTCTCCACACTCATCACATTCGTAAGGTTTTCCACCTGTGTGTATTCTCTGATGTGTGATGAGGCTTGACTTCTGACGAAAGGCTTTTCCACACTCATCACATTTGTAAGGTTTCCACCCTGTGTGTATTCTCTGATGGGTAATGAGGTTTGATGTCTGGTGAAAGGCTTTTCCACATTCATCACATTCATAAGGTTTCCCCCCTGTGTGTATTCTCTGATGGGTAATGAGGTGTGGCTGCTGGCGAAAGGCTTTTCCGCATTCATCACACTCATAAGGTTTTCTCCCTGTGTGTATTCTCTGATGTCTAATGAGGTGTGACTTCAGGTGAAAGGCTTTTCCGCATTCATCACATTCATAGGTTTTCTCCCTTGTGTGAATTTTCTGATGCTTAATGAGGCCCAACTTCTGGCTAACTAAGTCTGACTTTTGATAACTGACTTTTCCACATTTGTTGTACTCACAGGATTTTTCCCATACTTGAGTTCTGTGATGGATGGTAAGGCATAATTTACAATTGAAAGATTCCTGGTGGCATTTATATTCATAGGGCTTTCTCCCTGTATGTGGTCTCTGACTTATTTTAAGATCTGACTTGTAAGTGAGCATTTCTTCAAAAGATTCATATGGTTTCTCTTCCATATGTGATTGCTGTTGTTCAGTGACATTAGAATTTTTATGGATAGCTTTATTTTCTATCTGAGTGGCTTTTCCTACAATCGCAGTTAAATTACTACAGATCTTTCCTCCATAAGCCTTTTCACATGCAAACAATAGCCTCCTTCTACTGAAGCCTTTCCATTGTCCACTCTGTTCAAAAGGCTTCTGCACAGTCTGAATCTTGTGATGCTGTCTAAGTTGCTCCCAGTGTGAGAGGGCTGTCCGGGGTGTATTACAGCCATCAGATTTCTCTTGTACTTGCATCTCATCCAGCCCACTAGTGAAATGCATATTCTGAAATGCACTGCTTGTTTCAGTTTTCCTTCCTGAACAATTTCTCTTTTTTGTAATTAGTTTTGGAATATGGCTTGAGCTTAAATTAACTGTTTTTCTTAATTTGAGTCTCTTCTGAGTTGAAGTGCTTTTTCTGTTTGCAATTTGTCCCAAATTTATGTCTTGCCTTTCCTGGTTGGACTCAATCAGATCACTCATTTTCTGGACAACTGAAATATAAGAATAAAAAAAAACAAATCCATGAACCATATCTAAGTGTTTCTTCTTGGCCACTTGTGTAACTGCCTAGCTAGTGGCATAAGATTTTAACAGCGTGGTAGACACGGAAGAAGCTCCTGGCTCCTGGCCTTGGATTGGCTCAGCTCTAGCTATTGAGGGCATTTGGGGAGTGAACCAGCAGATAGAAGATTTCTCTGTCTCCGCCTCTCTGTAACTCCACCTTTCAAATCAAATAAATAAATATTTGATCACTATGGTATCTCTCCTTGATATGTTATAATAAATTACACCAATGGATTTCCCAATGTTCAATCCTAATTTTCTATTTAAATGTTTCTTTTCATTGTGTGTGGGGGGGCGGTTATATGGTAAGGTGGGAAAGCAACTGCTTGGGATGTCTGCAACCATTAAAGTGCCAGTTTGAGTCCTGGATACTCTGCTCAAAAACAATATCCTACTAATGTATGCTGGAAGGCAGCACATGATAATTCAAGTGCTTGCATTCCTGACATACACTAGAGATCATGATGGAAATCCAGGCTTTTGGCTACAGCCTAACTCAGCTCTAACTACTGCAGAAATTTGAAGAATAAACCAGTGAATGGAAGATCTCTCTGCTTCCACTATCAACATGTCTTGCAAAAAGATAAAATAACTAAATAAGGCAGTTTTAAGATTTATTTGAAAATCAGGGTTACAGAAAGAGGAAGAGACAGCGAGAAAAATCCTCTATCTGCTGGTTCTCTCTCCAGATAGCTGAAATGGCCAGCTCTGGGCCACACCAAGGCCAGGAACCTGGAGCTTCTTCTAGGTCTCCAACATGGGTTCCAGGGGCCCAAGCATTTGGGCCATCTTCTGCTGCTTTTCCCAGGCCATTATCAGGGAACTGGATCAGAAACAGGACAGTAAGGACATGAACTACCACCCATATGGGATGACAGCATTGGGTGCAGTGGATTCTCCCACTATGTCACAACACCAGCCCAGTGTTTTACATAATATGGAAATACTTAGCGAAAATATTTCTGCATTTCTCTACTGGATTTTCAGTCATGATGATGAGACAATTTTATTGAATCATTTACTTATAGGTGTAGAAAGACTCTTGTCCCTAAGCAGGGTCACAGTTTAAGAACAGAGTCTACATCTATGGTTAATCTCATATTCAGTCTTACCAGGCAAATGGCTTTAGGCACTTATGGGGTTTGTTGGATGAAAAATCTTTTCTTTCCTGTACTCTACGATGATTGCTTTCCCTGTATTATTAAGGAAACATTATCTCTTCAGCTAATTAGAATCATAACAAAAGCAAAAATGTCTTAATACAAACATCCCAGGCATGCTTCCCCTACCAGTTTAAGAGAATTGGTTCTGCAGCCCAGGCTGTGTTCAACTTTCTAAAAAGTGTCTTCTAGCTCATTCTGAGATCAGAAGTCCTGGTATTCTCTCAATTCTTGGTACACATGTTCCTGCTTAGTAATTTGCAGTTCTGAAGACTTTTGATCTTTATGTTGGGAGCTTCAGGTGTATCCTATTTTCACAAAAACCTGAATCTCCTATGAATTTCTTATCTTCTATTGCTTTGTTCACTCCCCTAACAACAACAACAGCCAGGGCTAGGCCAGGCCAAAGCCAGGAGTGAGTAGCTTCTTCCAGTTCTCCACATGGGAGTAGGAACCCAAGCACTTGTGCCATCCTTCACTGCATGTCCAGGCACATCAAAGGGAGCAGGATCAGAAGTGGAGCAGCTGGGACTCAAAGCAGTAGCCATATGGGATGCCAGCATCACAGGCAGTGGCTTTAATTACTATGCCACAATGCTAGTCCCTACCATTTCTTATTTATTTACTTGAAAGAGGGAAAATGAGAAAGAGAAACAAAAGCAGAGAACTCCTATCCAGGGGTATATTCCTTAAATCTGTGCAATAGGCTACCATTTATTTATTTGACAGGCAGACATAGAGAAAGAGACGCAAAAAGAGAGCATTTCCATTCACTAATACAGACCTGAAACACATACAAGAATAAGGTATGGGCTTTGCTAAAATGAAGAGTATGAATACAATCTGGATAACATGTAAGAAATCAGTACTGATCAATTGAAAAAACTGAATGAACAAATACATGAAAAAATGCATAAAAAAACCCTGAGTATTAAAGTGTAGAGAAAGAGAAGTTAGAATTTAGGGAATGTATCGAACATAGAAAAAAAAAATCCTTTAAAGTGCCAGAAAAGCATTGGATTCACAGCCCTTAAGGCATTCATTCGAATCTGGCTTAAAAGCTCATGAGAGTATTTCAGGCAAGGAAAGCCAAGACATTGTGGCAAAAACAAACAAACAAACAAAAAAAAAAAACAACAAAAAAAACAAACCTAAATGAAAGAGCTCTGAGTGAGATCCCAGTGGAAAGAAGGGGCCATCAAAGAAGAAGGTACCCCTTTCTCTGAAGGGAGGAGAGAACTTCCACTTTGATTATGGCCTTGTCTAAATAAGGTCAGAGTTTGTGAACTCAAGAGGCTTCCACAGCCTTGGCAGCTCATGACAAGAGCCTCGGGTGATTACTGACGTCATAAATAAGAGTGTCAACTGTTAAATCAACAACAGGAGTCACTGAGCACCTGCTCCCCATGTAGGATCTCTGTCCTTAATGTGTTGTACTATGAGAATTACTGATAAATCTAATCTTCAAACAGTACTTTATTCTTTGTGTGTCTGTGTGGGTGCAAACTGTTGAAATCTTTACTCAGTATAGAATTGATCTTCTGCATATAAAGATAATTAAAAATGAATCTTAATGAAGAATGGGATGGGAGAGGGAGTAGGAGATGGTTTGTGGGTGGGAGGGTAGTTATGGGGGAAGAACCATTATAATCTAAAAGTTGTACTTTTGAAATTTATATTTATCAAATATAAAAGTTGAAAAAAAGATTGGATTAACATGTGACAAATTAAAGAAACAGAACAGAAAGAAAAACAGAAAATGAGGTACACTGGTGTATACACAAGAGCCTTCTCTGAGACTGTAGAATGTGTGGGGTGCATGAAACCAGCTTTCCTGAGGGTTGAAACCTAAGAAACATTAGTGAGAAGAGCTCCAATCAACAACTGTCTTTCTGTCTCAGTCTCCCTGCCCAAATATGTGTTGACTTACCTGGGAGGCTCTGGTTTAGGGGTTTTTCCACTATCCATGGCTCTGCTCCTTGCTCCAATTTGTAGATCAAGTCTGGTTTGATAATGCAATGCCCTGTTAATGAGAAAGAATGACAGACTTCATCAAATCACTCTATTAAGTTTTTTTTTAAAGATCTATTTTATTTATTTATTTGAAAGAGTTACAGAGAGAGGAAGAGACAGAGAGAGGGGTCTTCCATCTGCTAGTTCACTCCCAAGATGGCCGCAATGACTGGAGCTATGCTGATCCGAAGCCAGGAGCCAGGAGCCAGGAGCTTCTTCCGGGTCTCCCACATGGGTGCAGGGTCCCAAGGACTGGGACATCTTCTACTGCTTTCCCAGGCCATAGCAGAGAGCTGGATCGGAAGAGGAGCAAGCGGGACTAGAACCTGTGCCCATATGGGATGCTGGTACTTCAGACCAGGGCTTTAACCTGCTGTGCCATAGCACCAGCCCCAGTATTAAGTTTTTTAAAGAAGGGCAACAGCGTGGTTCCAGAAGCTGGGCATCAAAAGGGCCACTCTTAATGGTCTCAAATACTATTCCTATTCAGCATTATACTTTATAAAATGTTCTTTATTTGTCAAGTAGGAAAAATGAGTTCCACTTGAGCATTACAGGGTAGTAATGGGTAGTGTCACTCACCCAAGGATAGCAGGCTGCTGTAGGTCTCCAGCATCACATCCTTATATAGGGTCTTCTGAGCATTGTCTAGGTCCTGCCACTCCTCCTGGGTGAAGTCCACAGCCAGGTCTTCAAATGACACCAACACCTGTAACAGCACATTTCTGTTCAACTCTGTTACAAAACAGAAAGACTAAAAGTGCATTCTCTGTGTGTATTTGCCACTTATATAAGATGTAGCTAATTTTGTAATTTATATGGTAACAGAAAGCAAAATCACATTGAAAATGTGTTGTACCACTTCCAGAGGGGAGTGGTTAATTAACCTGATTGGCTGGTGGGCACCCAAGTGTGGCCAGGTAGGGGCATGAGGTCACATAGGGGATGGTGAAGGTATCAGGTAGGGCATGAGGTCACACAGGGGCGAGGCGAAGGCGTGGTCTTCCAGCTCACAAAGCTAATCAATTTTAACCTGTATGCGTGCCTACTTCAATAGGACAGAATAGATGCAGTCAACTGCCAAATGGCTCCTTTCCCCTTCCTAGGGCACACACTGCTTATTAATCATGGCTTCATTTCTACTATGCCCTCAGACTCACAGTCTTCATCAAACAGTGTTTTCTTTTGCAGCTGCTGCCATCACAGTCATATCTGACACAGAGGACTTATTTACCATCCACAATAGAAATGCCATTTATTTTACACATTGTAAAGCAAACACACTTAGAATGGTCACTTGGGGGGCAGCCGGCAGGGAGGCGGTGGGAACAGAACAGAATGCTTAAGACAATAATGAATGGACACTTTGAGACATGATTTGGCTTAAACTTAGATAAAAAATAGAGTTTCTAGGCCAGGGATTGGCCACACTGAGACAGTCTGATAAGAGGGAGGAAGTGGGAACAAGCCATCCTGCTAGTTGTGAACTAACAACTGCCTTTTAAGTACATGGGTCAGGGGCCATGGAAACGGCCAGAATTCTCACCTGGCAGCACCTCCTTGAATTGTTTAATGAGATGCTTGCAAATAGCATTGCCACAGAAGGTAAATGGGTAGTGAGGAATTTTAATTCCCTGATTTTAAATAAGTTATACTGGATCTCTTGACTTCATCATTTCAGACAAATATGAGCAATCTTTGGGGTGCCTGATTGGTGATGCTATGACTTGATTAGAACGTACAGTCAGAAAAATGACCTGGGGTTGAAATATTTAATAGAGTACAGAATTTGGTTCATACTCCTCTTTGTTAAAGAATTTTCAGAGACTGGCCCACAAAGGCTATCTAGAGCAATGCTAAGCTGTCATGGAGAATAACTGAAAAATTTCAAAATGAAATATGATTGCCTTGAGAAATGACCAACTTAATAACAGGTCATGTTTTGAAACCCCTAAGTAGTATTTATGTATTTCACTGGCTCTTGTAAGTATTCACCACAGCAGAGGAAGGGAGTTCCTATAAGTGGCCTTAAATTTTGTGATGTGTTAATTTTAAGCCCCGTTTTCTTTTCAAAACCTTTGAGATGTTACACTTGGAATATATAACAAATATAATTTCTTTGATGTCCTTTTTGACTTACTTTATTTGAAGGCTCGGGTTGTTTGAGTTCATGGAGTAGTTTTTATAAAAGGCCAAATGTAAGTTTAACTTGTGGTTTTTGGAACATTATGCAGTCCATTCCAGCAGAAATTATGCATTTTCAAATTCTTCTTTAGAGTGGTACATGAAAGTGCAAAAATGCTTTTATTTCAGAGAAAGGAAGGAGAAATAAATCTTAATTCATCTTGAGATATTTAAGAAATCATACAGTTTGCAAGATGCTTTCCAAGTCTCCAGCTTTTTTCCTAACTTTTAATATTTTCTAAAGAATTTTAATTTTTATTGGAAAGCTACTATGTATACATTCATTGCAGCAAATTTAGAAGATAGCAGAAAAAGTAAATAAAAATCTGTAAGACACCATCACCTGTAGATGACAACCATTAACATTTTGTGTACAGGTTTTTAGTTTCTTTCCTATTTCTGTGAATATTCATGCAAATATCCCCTTCCATATAATGAGTTTATATGGGATATATTATTTTTAAATATGATTTTCTCATCTGAAATATATAAATAAAATCTTCCCATGTAATTATACATTCTTTTGCATATCCTTGTAAAGTCCATATAAAACTCTGTCCTGAAAGTACCATGGTTTAATGGGTTCACTGTTCAGCACTGAATTTGGATTTTTCTTCCAGTTTTTCCTACTTCAAAAAACGTGAATAATGTTCTTGCTGCTGGTCATCTGTGATTATTGCCTAAGGATAAATTCCTAGGAATCTTGCTGAGACAAGACATTATCATATTTTAAAGGCTTTTGTCTGCCAGAAAAGTTATATCAGTTTATACTTCCATCTGCAGTGTGTGGAAATGCTTTATTTATTTTCAAATGGACTAAAAGCTTCTGCTAGTGTAGTCTAACTTTCTAACAATTTTATAGTTTTATAACATATTGTCTTATGACAGTTATCCATTGAGTTTTGAAATAGTTGCCAGTTTGTTCTGTCCACCTTTGTAGCACTGCCTTTGTTTTATTATGTCAGGTTAAAGACATTTTTGTAAACCAAGAAATTCTGAGGAAAAGGAACTGATCACTTGGTGATATTTTCCACTCATCACTTACAAGTTTATAACTCTCAGCCATGTTAAGAGGTTTTCTTGTACTTAAATGATAAACAAAGTTTTGCCCCCCCCCCAAAAAAAAAAGAAAATGTGTTGTCTCTGTATTAATGTTAGAATTGAAAAATTGGCCGGTGCCGCGGCTCACTAGGCTAATCCTCCACCTTGCGGTGCCGGCACACCGGGTTCTAGTCCCAGTCGGGGCGCCGGATTCTGTCCCGGTTGCCCCTCTTCCAGGCCAGCTCTCTGCTGTGGCCAGGGAGTGCAGTGGAGGATGGCCCAAGTACTTGGGCCCTGTACCCCATGGGAGACCAGGAGAAGTACCTGGCTTCTGCCATTGGATCAGCGCACTGTGCTGGCTGCAGCGCACTGGCCGCGGCGGCCGTTGGAGGGTGAACCAATGGCAAAAAGGAAGACCTTTCTCTCTGTCTCTCTCTCTCACTGTCCACTCTGCCTGTCAAAAATAAAAAAAAAAAAATAAAAATAAAAATAAAGAATTGAAAAATTAGAGGATCAAAGATGGCAGATTAGGGAGCAGCATGCTTTGTGGGGCTAGGGATAAGCAGTGAGGAGAAAAGGGTAGGAAGTACACTCTGGGTGGAGAATTGAAGAGAAAATCACCAAGGAAGCCTCATGGGAGGGGGAAAACAATGTGAATCTGCATGGTGAGTCCTGATGTGCAGCCTACGCAGATGCCGTGGTGGAGAGCCAGAGCTGGCAGCATGTTAGAGACAGAGGGGAAGCCAGACTGCAGCAATCTATGGGGATAGAGCCAGAGAGAGTGTGGCATGGGTCCAGACTGAAGCCCTGGGGGCTGGCAGTTGCTGGTGGATGCCTGTGGTCCCAGTGAAAGTGGAGGGTCAGGACGTTTGATTTAAATCAATCTCTCCAAAACAGAACCCACGATATGACTGAGAAAGGGCAGGCACCATTTTACAATAGGGCAAAAGAATATGGAAGCTTGCAAGCATGCACATAACAGCTCACTGAGATGGGCCACATGAATGCAGTGCTGGCAGCAGTGGGGGGGGGGACAGGCATTTAGCCAGTGGCTGTAGTGTGAGTGTGTGATCCAGAGCTTTGAGTGGAGAGAATGGCCTACATCCCCCAATGACTCAAGAGCTTGGCTGGGACATGGCTGGCAGCTATGAGAGACAGAGGGGCACCTGCACCAGCAGTGCCCTCTGGACTCTGTGACTGTGGGAGCCTTGGGTGCAGAGAACGTGGGGACTCAACAGCTACATGAGAAGGTGTAGGGTGTAGCTGGGTATTCAGTTCCACCATGACCAACTTGGGTGTTACCCTGGAAACTTGCCCCACCCTAGAGCACTGACAAGAGCACCCTGGCCACACCCACAACACACCTTCTGGTATTCACAAAGGGGAGACACTCCAAGAATCTACAGAAGCATAGCCCCAAAGATAAAAGCCATCAGAAGAAAAAATTAAAAATCAACTCCACAAATGGTGAAAAATAAGAGCCAAAATTCAAGAAACAAGAATAAGGAAGTCACCGTGACCCCCTCCCCTCAGAGGAAAACAACATTTCAATATTAGAATGCGAAGATGAAGAGATCAAGCAAATGTCACAGATTTAGAAAATTAATCATAAGATGATTTTTAAAAGTCAGAAGCAAACCCAGGAACTAAAGAAAATCATTCACAACATGAGTGAAAATTTTTCCCAGAAAATTGAGAATTTAACAGAAATTAAAATGAATTATTAGAAATGCAATATTCAGCAGATCAAATAAAAAATGCAGTGGAAAGCCTTAACAATAGACTTAATGAGGCAAAAGAAGGAATATATAAACTAGAAGACAAATCTTTGGAAATCTGACAAAGACAAACAAAAAGACAAGAAGAAAATAGAAAACTTAAAAACATCAGAGATCTATGGGATACTATTAAACAACCCAACATACAGGTCTTAGGAGTGCCTAAAGGAGTGGAAAGAGAGAAGGGAATAGAAAGCCTACTTATAAAATAAGTACAAAAAACTTCCCCAATTTGGAGAAAGAGATGGTCAAGAAGAGGAAGCACACAGAATTCCTAACAGACAGGACCAGAAAAGATCTTCACCACAACACATTGTAGTCAAGTTTTCCAGAGTAAAATATAAAGAAAAGATTGTAAAATGTGCATGAGAGAAACGCCAAATTACTTTGAGTATCACCAATTAGACTCACAGATGACTTCTCATCAGAAACCCTATAGGCTAGAAGAGAATACTGAGATATAGTCCAAGTCTTTAAAGAAAAAAATGTCAACCCAGTATACTGTACCCTGAAAACTTTGCACTTATAAATGAAGATGAAATAAAGACCTTCAATAACAAACAGCAATTGTAAGAATTTGTCAACACTCATCCAGCCTTACAAAAGATGCTTAAGGATATGCTGCACAGAGAAAACACAGAAAGATAGCCTTCATTACAAAAGAATGAGGAGGCAGAAAACCCACCAGTAGAAGCACAAAAGAAAT